TGGGCGAGTTTAGGCCATGACTAAGCGTTCCAACCTCTTAAGCAATTTCTCGTCTCCTTCTTACCTCATGCCTCTACATTTGAGCGATGTGGCTAACGTCGTGGCTAGCAATGCAAACGCTCCTCAAAACACAGGAGCCGGGATCAAACTATTATCGCTTCAATCAGGACATAGCGGTAGCGTTACGCGTGTGCCGCAAAAGCCTGCGGACCTCTTACCGGTGACAGGAAGCCGACAAAATGGCTATATAATCGCAAACTAGATGTCTTGGCATGCTTCTCGACTCACTAGGGAAGTATTTCAATGGCTGTGTCCGCTTGATATCAGGCGCCGGCTGAAGCAGTTTTGAACGCTGTTATCAAATCTGCATTCCTTTTCTGCGGAACGCTTTTCCATAAGGAGTTACGGAAGCCCGAAAAGTCGTATTTTGGAGCCTCTTAAGTTCGAGGATCCTATATCAAACTTTTTTGGTACAGTGGTGTAGTGGTTAGCGCACTGGCATTAATGGCGAGAGGTCAGTGGTTCGAATCCGCTAGAGAGAGAGAGAGAGAGAGTCCTTTTGTATTTTGAGTATGAGTTAAATACGCACTCAAAACCTTCGCAGACACTTACAGCCATGTTTGTGCCAGTGGTTCGAATCCGGTAGAGAGAGAGAGAGAGAGAGTCCTTTTGTATTTTGAGTATGAGTTACATACGCACTCAAAACCTTCGCAGACACTTACAGCCATGTTTTTGCCAGTGGTTCGAATCCGGTAGAGAGAGGGAGAGTCCTTTTGTATTTTGAGCATGAATTACATACGCACTCAAAACCTTCGCAGACACTTACAGCCATGTTTTTGACATCTGCCCTATAAAAGGAATTTTTTTTAGCATAGCTGCATGTAATGGGAGCCTCTCCACCGGTCTTGAATCATTGACCTTGCCTCTAATGTCAGCACGCTAATCACTACAACTGCACCAATGACCTATACAGCGGTGTCCTCGAACCTAAGGTGCGTCCAAAAACGGGGCTTACAGGCCGTTATAACTCCTTTCAGAAGAGCGTTCCGCAATAACGGATGCAGATCTGAAATCAGTGTTCGAAAGTGCTTTAGCTGGTATGCATCTCTTATCAAAAGCCCACGGCCATTGAAAGTACTTATCTCCTCAGTGAAAACAAAACCAGGTTTTCTACCTGTTCTTCTCTCGTTTACCGTCTTCTTGATAGTTAGAGTATGAGTGGCTGTGTATTTTCGTTTTTTTGCAAGGAACGCCAAGAGCGTATTAAATAAATGAATAAATATTAGGTTATCGGGAAATTGATGCAGGTTTTGAATTTCAACCGCAACAAGTCACCTTCTCATTTCTAAGTAGGTTGCAAAGCACCATTCGATAAAACAAAGCAAGCTCTACAAGATGGCTATCTTGCTTGAGCAACAGCTCTGATCCACCATAAATTTCGAGCCAAAAACTGAAAAGATTCAACTGCCCGAAAAATTGAGAAAAATCGTAACTTAATTCATAAAAATCCTACAAAAATTCTAACTTGCTCACGTAAACCCAAACACATAAGACATCTATAAACGCCGTTGCCATATTTTTTTCTCTGTCAGAAATCAAGAAAAAGGAAATTTTCGTGCATTTTCTAAAGTGGTCTGTGCCGTTTCCACATAAGCATGTGTATACTACAATCCTGCAGTAGTACAAACATAAATTTCCAGCTTCTTACAAGCTTTAGTTCTCGAAATTTGAATTTTAGCTTGGACCACATGAACAGGGAAAACTGTATTCGATATTTCTCGGAAACTAAAGCTTGTAGAGAGCTGGAAATTCACGTTTATACTTCTACAGGTTTGTAGTGTACAACTACTTATGTGGAACGGCACAGCACCACTTCGGCAAATGCACGAAAATTTCCTTTCTCTATTTCTAACAGAGAAAAAACACGGCAGCAGCGTATATAGATGCTCTATGTGGATTGTGTTTACCTGAGCAAGTTAGAATTGTTGTAGGATTTTAATGAACTAAGTTACGATTTTTCTCAATTTTTTGGGCATTTGAATCTTTTTAGTTTTTGACTTGAAACTCGTGGTGGATCAGAGCTGTTGCTAAAGCAAACCGTCTTGTGAGCTTGCTTTGTTCTATCGAAAAGTGAATTGCAGCCTATTTAGAAATGAGAAGTGTATCACTTATTGCGGTTGGAATAAAAAACCTGCATTAATTTTCGGGCAACCTAATAAATAATCACCGCTTCTAAAATATTGTTGTTTTGAAAACAGTTGCAAAGAAGAAGTTAGCTTTTTTTGGTTTCCCAACGTGGATTGCCTGTTCGCGGCGAGAATCTGCAATTTGAAATGCCGCCAAAGGAAAAATTTTAAACTGACTGTGGCGCTTTTTTTCAGGTCTTAAAAAGTTTTTCAAAACTTCACAGATGGAAAAAATCTACAGTTCTTTGATTTCTGCATGTAGGCTAGACTGTGTAGATTTGACTAAGGTAAGTTTAATTTGGGACGGTTTCCTTCTGTTCATGTAAATGAGTGATAACAGCGAGCAGCATCATCGACGATGCGCCTCAGCGTTTGGGCGCAATTTTCGACCTTGACCTTATCTATACTACAAAGAATATCAATTTCAAATTAAGGTAGTATGTAGAGCATAATCTCCTCTCTAAAACTCTGCAATTGTTATGGAGCAGTGACCTGAAATCTTGGCTAAACATGGAAAGCTGAATCCCAGGCGACTTTAAAAAATTCACAAAAAGAGGCTAATCAGATTTGCTTTTGCTCAAAGAATTGGATCCAAACAATGATTTAAAATTCTAGATTCAAACAAAAAGTAACAGAAATGATGAAAAGAACATAAGGCTTTGTCTACAGCATGATTTTCAGTCAATAAACAATTGTGTTTAGTTTCTGTGCCACGTTTTCTGATCGCACTTGCCCCGCAGGCGCTATTTTGTTGGAAAATTTCCCGAATTTTCTCCTACTGCAACTGCGGTCTGGCTACTTCCAGCATATTTCGAAGACACTACAACATTTCTTAAGCAGTAGAAGATTGCTCAAAATCGCGTTGGAAACAACAGAATTTGCCAAAAAAAAAACTTCACACTTTCTTCACATTTGTAAAAGGAAGTTGCAAGATTTAATAAGGTGCGTCTCAAATGAGCAATGTGTGTTTCACTTTGATTCTCTACCAAGGAAACTCGGAAGAGAAGCGTTGTTCAAGAAAGCTTTCTTCAAATCGTATTTCTAAAATGGAAACTGCGTTTTGCGATATAGCCACATCATTCATGGCGCAGCACATAGCAGCTCTGTTTTGGTCAGCGAAGCAGGAATTTTGATGTTGCTAAGGAACACTGTTAGACGACAGAAAGAAATTGCATAATTTTTCCGATATTATTTATGAGTTGTTTTTTTGTAAGCGGTTTCTATGGTTTTCCTGCCCTGTAACAGCCCATTTAAGACAGTCGTGAATCCACTTTGTCACTTGTATAAAGACAGTATGTGTCCATCTACGTAATATAGTTACGGGTAGAGGACATTATGTCGCCAAAAGTCTCACCTGCAAGGACAGTCAATAAAACTTTGATGTGAAGAAGTGTGTATTTGCCAATGACCGCATAAAAGAGTCCTTTCGGCATCATAACATCCTCTGTCAATTTATTTTATTTTGGGTGAATGAGGAATGAAAAAGACCTTGCCTCATGATGATGATAAACAAGCCGCTAAACCAAAGAGTTCTTCTAGAATGAACCTTTATTCATCTCACACAGCTTTCACAATGACGCCCAAAAGAACTTGGAAACATTAACCCCAAAGCGAAGAGGGTGAGAGTGACTTGAGAGGGTAAAACCTCAGAGCGTAAGCGACAAACAGAAGCAGTGATGTCGGAATATTTCATTAGTTCAAGTGATATATTTCAACTCCACACGATTGTTCTTCTTAAGGCCTCGGACAGAGTTCAGGCGATTTGATCGTCGCGATTCAATCGCTACAGACAAGTGTTACGACTTCATTGAATGCCGATCTTCTTCTTGCATTTCAGTTGTGATAGTTTTCCAACACGACTAATCGTGACTAACTATCACAACCGAAATGCAAGATGATCGGAATGCAATGGACTCGTAACTGTTTGTCTTGGTGGAAGAATCGCGGCGAAGAAATCGCATGTACTCTGTCCGAGGCATAACAGCTCGCGCGAAACACAGAGAGCACGGTAATCAACCGAGCATTCAAGAAGTAGGCCGGGCAAGACCGGTTACGCCAGCTAGTAACCTAGCTAATCTATATAGAAGAGCGAATGGAAACTCCTAAGAACTCCCCGGACACTATTTGCCAATCCCCTTCCCTCTTTCCACTAGCGATCTTCGGGGATTGATGTTACCCTTGGGAAGTTCTCGGCTGCTATTTAGAGGCAGTGTCCGGGCAAATTTGGGAGCATGGGTTTTTCCCTGGAATCTGATGAGGGGGGTCCTAAGTAAGGCACTGCCCAACAGCAGCGCAAATGGTTCATTCACGACTGAGAAATTCATCATCCCCAAACACTCTGCGCCTGCGCCGTGACCGCGAGTGGCTCAGGACGGGTCCCAGCGCGAACATAGTGTTGATGTGAGCAAAGTCAGTTTCGGGTTATGGTCACGTCACAGGCGCATGTGTAGGGGCGGATTTCTCAGCTGTGAATGGGGTTAAGTTAGGACCCCCTCAGTTTCCGTTGAAAACCCCATGCGGCCGCATCTGCCTGGACACTGCCTTTAAGTAAAAGAACATAGCACAGGACAAGTTCAAAGGACTTCATAACGTAAGGAGGTACCACTAAGTCGTAAGCTTCTTGTTGTTCTAAAAATGTCCTTGAAAATATGTTTACAATCACCATAGGTGAAAGCAGCGGTCAGTGACAGACTCTTCCTGGTGATAAATCTATTTGAAAATGAGCAAGCGGCTTTCCATCGAAATGCTTTGGGGAGGTTTTGTTTGCGATAAGCAGTAGTCGTTCAGACGGCGGCCGCTTGCAATGCATACTTCGACGAAGATAAGCGGTGCATATCGAACATGCACCCAGCGAAGCTTTTTCTTCTTTCATTTCTTGCAGGTAAGCCTCTCGTTCTCGTACAGATGCTACTAATAGCATATCTTACCATTCCTTCATTATGACCATTATTCAAAGAGATTTGGCAAACAATTAGTCGGAATATGAGTGCTGCATCAAAATTTCAAGAATTTGTAACTATCTATACTTCAAATGATTCTTTCCGATAAAATACAAAAAAAAAATCATGTTTTCTGGTAGTTTAGTAAAAACTATTGCTATCATATCACCAAGAATGAAGTTGGTAAAGGGAAATACTCATAAAATTTCTTTTGACTTTCGCTCCTCAAAATGCTTTAGTTCCACATTTCAATTTTACTTTGGTTTTGTGCTTTATGCTTTACCTTTTCGAGGAGAAATTTCCTTTGTTGTCCGATCGGATGTCTTCAAGAAAATTTGCAACTATCAAGGTTTTTTTAAAAATATTTGAAGATAAATTTTCTGATATGCTTCATAAACAAAGGTAGAAATTTTTTCATATATCGAAGAGAATATTTAGCTAAAGCGTTTGGTTAAGTAGTTTCAAATCAAAATTCTAAATTTTTTTAGGCGAGGATTAGGTTCAGCTCAATGAATGCTGTCATTAAGTTGGTTTCTAAATCATACAACTAACTTTTTGTAGTACTGATTTCTTTATTTTCAAGCAAATTAATTCTACAAATTTCCGAGAGGGGACCTTATTCGATATGTAGTAGTTCATAAAGAAAGAAATCAGTGCTAGGATATATCACAGTCGTATAAGCCAATGAAAATTTTTTTCTCTGTTTTTTTGACACTTGGGCGCAAAAAGTTTTGAATATCGTCTATGAGTAAAAGTTTTTAAGTTTTTGATTTCCACAGTAAAATTTTTGATAATTCTATTATTTATGGAGTAAAGCATTCGTAGTAATTGAGACAGCATAGTAAAATGTATCATAAAGTTTTTTGAAACAATTTTTGTAGAATTTTTGATGCAAAACTTATCAATCAGCCGGATATTTTTGTTTAAGATGTTACAGTACTAATGATCTATCGGATCTATTTAATTTTTTTAGGTGTTCTCGCCACCCCGGTACACCATGCTATCCGACGGCATAGAAGAGGTAAAGTGAATTCCTATACTAACCACTTTGAGTAGTCTGTACCGCTGCTTGTTCCGGCCAGAGTTGTTGTTGACCATGTGTTATCATCTCGTGCTGAGAGCATATTCTTGAAATTTGTTGATTTAGCTCGAATGCTTATCTTCGATGACACATAGCACGGTCGTTATTTATATCCTTGTTTACAAGAGATGATCGCTAACCTGTTATTCATCATCTTTTTGCGTGAGTAATATTTTTCGCCGCCAGTAAAGTATCTTAGAATACCACCACTGGACATATTTTCTCAAATGTACCTATCTACGTGCAGCCGAGTTGCTAAATCGTCCCTCTCATTTGTAATGTTGAAAACTTCATATAGTTCTTTCCTTTGGGCCAGGGTTCGGCGCACAGCCGGCACTGGGTCGAGGTGGATTTCGTTTTTGGGGCAAAAGCAAAGAAATTATCGTTTTTGTGCCCGTAAAGAACAAAAATTGCGTTTTTTATGTTTAGGGTTTAGGGTCAAAGGGGACTTCTTACGAAATTTTCAAGATCAAAGGGGACTTCGTTTGAAATTTTTCTGGTGCTGCTAGGTGCCGAGCCCTGCTTTGGACATCGAAAATGCTATTTTTCTCCATAAAAATCACTACATGAGTCTACTACGAATCCACTATACACATTCTTGCATCCTAAAAGCAGAATGGTCCGCGTCTCAGATTTCTTCCTCTTCTCTAAACAATAAGAGTTACCTTGAACACATGCTGAAATACGAGCTCTTGTACCCTGCAAATGACATCAGACGATGGAAGTGCTGTTCAAGCATTTTTGCTGTCTTCTAAATATAAAAACGAGAGTTTTTGAGCAATTTTCAATCAACTGACGACATACGGGTCGCGAGTGTGCGAAACATTTTAGGAAAAAAATCATTTATGTCATTTATCCAGACGTTTGGCCTCAGTCTAATCACTAACTGAAGCAATATCTTCTACAGTAAAATGGCCCTCATGTAACACTTATTCCAGTTGGGAAGCCTACCATAAACCAAGAATTTGGTCAGCTTAAGTTGTTCTCCAGAAATCGACGCTTGTGGTAGGATAAAACTCAAATTGTTGAACTTTCTTAGAGAGGTGACAAAAGAGGAGCGAATTCCAAATTTCATTCATACATGCCATCTATTCTAAGACCAGGAGACGCGAGACCGCATTGCGGACATTGTCTTTACAAGATTGAGTTTGTTCTTCCTTGTTTTCAAAGAGAAAAAAAAAACTGGACGGAATAAATAACAAGTAAGAACCTGCGAAATACACGATTGGGCTTGTTTAGACAATGTGTGCAATGGGGTCTCGCGTCTCCTAGTCATAGAATGAATAATAGAAAAAAAACTGAGCCCCAATTCAGGTGGAGACGGCCTTCAACATCAATCCCGACGAAATCGTCGGGAATCTATAACTTCGTTTAAAATGATTTTCTCGTTATCGAATTTTGATATTTGAAAAGCAGATTTTGTGAGGATTGAAAAAAACCACCAAAAATCCAGAATTTACTCTTATAGAAAGGGTTTTCAGTGAATTACTTGATGGACCGTCGCTTGATCTAATGAAAACGCTTTGAGCGAGTGTATATTCTGAATATTTGATGGTATACGTTGAAGCCATCTTTCCATTCGAATTAGGGGCACAGTTGTAGACTATGACGATTTATCAATATCACTTGCATTTTCAGCGGAAGTCATGGGATTTTTCACTTTTACATGTGTCGCATTATGTGCATTCTTAGCGGAAGCCATGAGATTTTTCGCTTCTGCATGTGTAGTATCGTCTTGCAGCTTTGCTACGAATAGAGAGCTATTTTGCATACATGAATCATTAAAAAAAACTATGATACAATGCCAGCCAATGATTATTTGCTTTTTTCTGTTTTGGTGCAGCCGCACTGATAAGAGCAGAAACAAAACTAAGAAGGTAGTTTTTCAATGTTTGTAATCTTTCTACACTTGATGAGTGATGGGTCTTTTGGTTTATCGTAGAAGGGAGACGATCCTGGAAGCGTAAACATGATATCCGCTTTTGACTTATGGTCCCGTCAAGTATATGGGTATTACAGGGCCCAGCACAGGTAGGGTAAGAGATCTAACGGAATAAATTTGTATGATATTGCACGATTTTTTTCACTTTTCACTTTTTGAGCAGTCAATTCTTGAATAGGTCGTCTTCTTGTGCAACCGAGACTTTTGATTTTTTTCGTGTTTTGATACTTTTTCAAAATATTTGAGTAACTTTCTATGATCGTTCTTGTCCCTCTCCCTTTTTGCACATGTTTACACCAAATTTAGAGACTACGATGTTATCATTGCTGAACGGGGACCAGCTACCTAACAAGTAGAACAAAAGTGATTTTCAAATTTCGCGCCTTGTGCAAGATTCGCGTTTTTAGGTTCAAGCATGTGCTGATTTTGGAGTAAATAAATAAGCTATGGCCTCACAAAGTAGACAAGCATCCTTACAAAAATTCTGCGTATTTTTCATATTTATAATTCCAGTTGCAAATCTACCAACACTTAAACTGTCAGCATCTTGCAAGACGATCGGAGCTATTTTTGAATGTTTCTATCGAAGGATAGCCAAAATGTTAGTAAAAAGTTGTTTTATCAGTGTACAATGAAACCGTTCAATAAGCGAGAATTTCTTCCTAGTAAAGCTCACGCGCATAAGGGGAAACAGTCATGTAATTTTGTGTTGAACAAGGAAACAATTTTTCACATTTTTTTCTGTTGTCCATAATTTTTTGGGCAAGTTGTGTCACAAATAAAATAAACAATTCGACTAACACAAAATATCACTGAAAAAGAATTAAGAGTATGTAGACGTTATTCCATTAATAATAGGACATTAGTTGTGAATTGCTCTTTATCAACGAACTAGCGAGTTGCTTCTGATACCCTTTCGTTACTTTATTACTAAAAATAGTATACGTACAAGTTATCATGTAGTCTCATATGTTTCTGGAAAAGAGCACTGTTCTAACACATTCGAAACTAAAACATTCTGCTACCAAAATTTTTCACATTCCTTGTAGCGCTTTGAAAACAAACATTTATGAGTTGTAGTATAGACAGTTGTACGATCTTCGAGATGAATGCTTGAGATAGGGGGTCTTGCTATCGATCATGATTTCCTATTTGTTCTTTTTGCAGATGAAAGCACGAAAGTAAATACGACAACAACAGAAGCAAAAGAAGATGGTCCAGATCTTCCACCACTTCCACTGGATTACGATGAAGAGGTCTGCTCTAATGTGACTTTTTGTGGGCGAATCTCAGATTTTGTCTTAATAACAACATCAACAGGAAGCAGAACTTACGTTATTGAAAAATGTTATGATAAATAATTTCAAAAATTCAAAAAGGAAAGAAAGTGCAAAGAAGCACGGTCTTAGCTGCTGATTCATTGAGATCACAATCTATGCTCATTAATCAAATCAAATCAAGGTACATCCATTTTTAGAAAATCTAGATTTCCAGTGTTTTCTGGTTTTTTCAATATTTGTGATAGAAAAATGATATGTATTTTCTATCTTTCTAAGGAGGACATTTATATGTCACTTGATGATCCACGAGTTGGCACCGTTGATGAGGAAGGAAACGTTCTGGTGCCTGTCGATGACGATGGAAATGTTCTTCCAGGTGTGGAAATTTTTTTTTCATTCCGATATTTTCTATGAGGTATAAAGAGAAAAAAAAGTCTTTGAATACATTTACTTGGTTAGATCATCGGTTTGAGCAACTTCGTGTCTCTGTGGAGGAAAGACTCGGACAGCTCAAGAGCAGGGGCACTTTAAAGGGGAATTTTTTGCTTCTACAAATAATTTTCTTGAATTTTTGAATTAAGAAAGAAAAAAGAAAATTGACCTTTGAAGACATTTGCTTTGTAGTGAAAGAAGGCGCTTTAAGAAGCTAGGACCTCGCTGGAAAAAATCTATAAATTTTTGTCTCTCTTTCGAGAAATTACTCGGCACAGAGCATTTTTACGGAGCTACTTCATAGTTCCCCTCTGTGCAGTTCCACAAATTCTGTTATAAGCTATTTTACCATTTTCTACTCTTTCCAGGAAGCCCATTGAGTTCACAGACTTTTTCAGGTTTCGAGCATCTCGTACGTCCTCTGCAAGTGAAGGTACAGGAGGATGCAGTGCCTGAGACAGACGTCCTTGAAAGTGAGCACTTTTCTTACTCCTTTAGTTTGCAAAATGTCCTCACGCAAATCCGCGTGAAAAACTTGTGCAGAGGAGCGTTCTACAAAGAACATTGCACTATTGTTCCAACATTTCTGCTAGAGTAATCTTTTCAAATAACTAAACAAAAAACTCGCAAACAATGTTCAAAGGAATCCGCAACGTCGCGCAAAACTAAAATACGAGCAATCAAAATCTTTCCGAGGTACAGTTTTGATGCATTACGATCAAAACTCAACAATTTTCCGCCTTCTCTAAGTTCCTCTAGTTTGTAATTGCAAAAAAAATATTGGGTTGTTTCAAAAGTTCTACCCGTTTTCGAACTTTGATTTTGATTCATTATAACTCTTCTCAGAAATAATCTTTGCAATTGCTATAAACTGTTTTACAATCTGCAAATCTTCTACTATTCTGAGCACTCTTTAAGATTACTGCAGTAACAGTGGAGAAGATTTTATAGGCGAAAGTCGAAGAACATCCCCTTGTAGAAACCTTCACTTTGCAAAAGCATAACTTGATTTGGAATACAGCTGAGTTGCACAGGCACTGCTCACAGTGTAGCCTATAGTCGACTGAGCAGTACCGCTAACTTGGAATTTCATCAAACTCTTTCATAAAAATTTTGTGCTGAAAAATCCGAAAGGACCCACTTATTTTGCTCTTTTTGAGGCGACAAAAAATGCAATTTTCTGACATTTTTGATGTGTTCACCGTAGACAAACCAGGAAACCTTTTCGTTCTTCTAGTAGCAGTTGTTCTAGCTCTAATCTTACTATATAGAGTAAAAGTTCCGCGATTGCAATATGTTTATGATTTTTATGCGACTTGAAGGGACCATAAAGACAGGTTATGTTTGAGCTAAAAATTTTTAGGTTTAAAATTTTTTTGAAATCCTATCTCGATGAGCGTTTCGTAGCACAAATCTCCAGCAAACATTATATATGTTTTGAAGAAAAATTTCTTCCTTTGGCTGTAGATTTCACGGCGATAGAGCAAAGACGAAAATTTTCACATTTGTTCAGCTGTCTTTTCAAAGTAGCAACCACACAGCGAACAAAGATCTATGAAAAATAAAATATGCCTGAAAAACTAGAAGAAAAGAGCTTTTGAATAATATAAATATTGTTCATGAAAAATGGTTTTTTCCTTCAAAATCGGCAGTTCTAAAAAGGTATCGAAAACGGGTAGAACTTTTGCAACAACCCAATACTAGAAATGAAAACAGTTAGTTGCAATTTACTTACTGTTCTTAAACACTCCCAAAGCTTTCTAATAGTCTCTATCAGGAGTTGACAGAGTTGCTACGCCGGTTGGTGATGACGCAAATGCACATATAGGTACCAAACTTGCCAGCTTTAGGAACATACTCAGTTTTTTTAGAAACTTTGCTTTGACTCTCCTTGAGCTTATTTTGAATAAATTTTCAAAATCTTTTCCGAAAGCAAAAAGCTATTAGAGAAACAAATTTGCACTTCTAGCGCTAAAATTGTTGCTGCACTAATCGAATAAAGAGGAAAATGAAGCCGTTCTAATTATTCTATGTTGTTGAGCAACCTATGTGGCTCTTTGTAAGGTTATACAAAGTTAAGGCTCGAAATTCGAGAAGTTTCAGGTAAAAGAGGCAAATCTAGAAGACCTGGAAGCCTCAGAAAAGAATTCAGGAAGAGTGCGTAGTCATTTTTGAGTTGGCAATAACCAAGAGCTGGGCGGTAATTTTGGTGTCAGCTTATTGAAAGGATACGGGTTTTGCAAAAGATATGTGCTTTTTTGAGTATAAGCGATTTGTAGCACGCAAAGACTGCGGACGTATGTGCGTCTCCCTGATCAAGCGCTCTTTCGTTTCTCTTACCATCTGTTGCCTCTCACATCCACAAACTATCCTCGTCGGACGCAACGGCTACCAGTCTTTGCGTGTCATGAACCGCCTATAGAGTAAAATGAGCTCTTTTAGAGTATATGCTTTATTTTTTGAACTATGACAATTAGGGGAGTCACATTGAAGCGGCCCTTCTGACGCGGTATCGCGTTTCTTTCGCAGATTTCAACGGCGCCACCGAACGTACTGAACAGTGCTTCTCAAAGCATTTTTTGCTATTAGCCCAACGAAGATTTTAAAAAAGCTTACGGCTTTCCGTCGTTGAAAGAGCAGAGCAATTCCAAGAAATAAAGGACCTTCGCTGTCTTGATTCATACAGTATGTCACTTCAGCCCTGATCTGACACAGTTTACTAATTATGGAGCAAAGTATTGTGACTTTATGTTGAAAAGTTTGTACTCGCCCCCACGCGATCACTGTTTGAAAGAATACACACCTTGCCCACTACTTCAATAGAATGCAGTATATGTATTGATGCATTGCTTGCGTGATAGACTTATCCCTTTGCGAAAAAAGAGGAGTTCATATATCATCTGTTGTGTGAGCATGCGCCCATTTTTGGAGACTAGCACTTCACAAGCACTTTACTCCACTTTTTCTGGCACTCTACACTTTTTTCCCGGTGTCGTATGCAAATTTGCATAAGAAAACCAATCCTCGCTTTCTCAGGCAACACTCTGATGATCAATTTACTCATAATCGCGCAGGCACAGTTGGGCGCTTTGCCTTCACTGCACTTACTCTGCATGTCCTTCAAAAGTGCGTTTTACAATTCTGTTGGCATAAGTCCCGCAGATTTTCTTGTTTTAGGTTTGCACTTGTACGAAAATTCTATGATAAAGTTTTGGTCTGTGTCAGAGAAGTTTTGGTCTGCGTATCCATCCTTTTTCTAATCTGATGAATTTCATTTTGGAACAATGTGACCAAGTGTGTGCGTGTTAAACAGTAATGTGTGTGTAGAAGAGAGGTTTGCACTCCAAAGTGGGTGCGCTTGTCAGTACTGGGCGGAGTTCCCTACTCTTTGGGGCGGAGTTCGCCACTCTTTTCGGCTGTGTTCTTCTCTCAAGCAAAATTATGCACTCGGTCTTTTCTTCATGATGATCGTTGCGCGTGTAAGAAAGGTTCTTAGCGCTTCTATTATTTTTCTAAGTTAATCAAGTCCAGGCTGTTTGTAAAGTATCACAAAATCTGTAGTTTGATTGTGTATTTTGCACTTTATGAGAATGAGAGATTAATGGCTCAAGTATACCAAAACAAGCTTGCAAATTTCGGCCGCTTACGAATTTCAATTGCAGAAAAAATCGTTTTATCGAAAACCACAATTTTTTTAGAGGCAGCTTCGTTGGCTAAAGTGATTGTACCGGCGCTGAAGATCGAACACCAACAAGCTGAACAAGAACAACAATCCAAAGACGTTGACGACAGCAATGACGATGAATCCGGAACGGAACCGGAGATTTCAAAGCTGCCACTTTTGAACGATTACGTGGATTCGAGAGAAAAGACTGAAAATCGTCGACGAATAGGATTTGGCGTTAAGCCAGAATCTCCGTCAGGTGCAGTGGTGATGAAAAATGTGACTGTAATTGAAAAAATCAATCCGGACATGGACGAGAATGCTATCAATGTCAATGAAGAGCCAATAAGTGAGGCTGAGGAAAATGCGATTGATGAGATTTTTGGTTTAAACAAAGACGAAGATTTAGAGAAGGAAATGGAAAAAATGGATGATTACGAAAAAGTTGGCGTAGAAAAAAGCAAAAAACTTTTCCTAGGAGAAAGTGTGTCATCTGAGGAAATCGAAGGAAGTGATAGAAATGATGAAGAATCTCCTCTTAAACCAGTTCGTCCTCAAATAGGTGGAGGGGTCAAGGACGAAGAAGATGCTAGAGTTCTTCCAAAAGACGAAGAAGAATCGCGAAAGCTGTTTGATGATCTTAGAAAGGCCGATTTGCTTGGATTGGATGTTGGCTCCAATCCAAATAATTCCGTAACAAAAGTTCTGTCGATGGCAGCTCTTCTTTTGATTGGTTTTGTACTTCCTTTGTAAATCTTTATTATTTAACTTTTATAATTTACTCTCTTATTCTCAGTAGCCTTTCTTTATATGCGATGTATATGCCTTGTTAATCAATAAATATATAAAAATAACTTTATGTACATAAAATCTGTACAAAACGCTGAAAGCAAAGAAAGGCACTTAGCAAAAATTTTTGAAGATATCACATCATTTGATGTTGCTTATATTCACACCAATCAAACATTGAGATCACAAATCTCATTTGCACCTATATCTGGGCCGTTGGGCAAAAATCCTGGTCCGTTAAACTTCGATGACGTCATTGTGTAACTTCTTCCTCGGCTCATAAGAAAAGTTGAACACTTTGCGTGCATATGGAAGTATGGCTTTCGTTGTGAAGCTGTAAATTCAATATTGAATTTTTTTGGACTTTTTTTTATAGATTTATGAGTGTTGGAAATTTATGCGAAAAATGAAGAAGGACAAAGTTACAATCTCGCATTCTCATCGTTTTGAAAGTACATTGCGAAGTTTCGGTTTGAAAGAAAATAAAAACTGTAATTTGATTCCCCTTGGAATTTCAAAATTTCAAGGACATCTTTCTAATTTAAAGAAAGCGAATAGTTATAGCATTTTTCTAAAGTTGAGGAAGTTCGAGTATCTGAGTAAAGGTACTTATCTACTCGTAGGTGCATTTAGAGGTATTTTTCGTAAAAGAAAAGACAAGGGTTACGTTGTCATCGCTTCAGAAATGTTCAGAGTTTTAGAGGAATTTTTCAGTTTTATAAAGAAAAGTATGAAATTGGGTTCTTATTTTTTCGTAGGTGGTACATATTTTGAGTGGTGTTGTTAAGCCAGAAAAAAAGCAAAAAGAAAAAGAAAAATTGAAGCATGAACTTACCACTTCACGTATCGACAAAGTGTGCCAATACTTCCCGGAATGAAATGCGTCTGTTTCTCTTTCAATATGGCATCTACTATGCTGTCCGCACATTTCTCAAGAGGAACGATATCGTAAAATCTAAAAACAAATAAATTAGCGCTGATTTTCTAGTCATATTGTAATTGATTGCATAACCAGGGCTCGGCACGAGGTGGCTAGTTGCAAATGAAAAAAACGAAGTCCCCCTTGACTTCACATTGAAAGTACGACATCCGCCATGAGATATTAAAAGAGAAAATACATGAAAAGGAACGGAACCCAGCAAAACACAGAAAAATACGCCAGAAAAGCATCAAACAAATGCGAGGATATTCGTATTCTCCGAATTGGCGGCGTGATTTATCCAGCGAGCAACACTTCGCACCTGGAGCAGCGTTGCCGCTGCCATTCTAAATTTTCAAAGAGCTGTAACTAAGCGCGGAGGATGGGGTTTGAGGCAGTTTAGGAACCAACCTGTAGGGTTTGGGATGTATATGAAATTTATGTGAATAAAGTAAAAAAATTATGTGAGAAAGGAAAAATTTATGACTTTTTCTTTCCTAAGCCACCTCAGGTGGCTATCCAGGTGGCTTGAAAGCCACTTAACTCCGAAAAAAGTTGAGCACGCCCTCAGTTCACATAATTTTTTCATAATTTTTCGTACTTAGTCCTGACTCCCCATTGCCCATCTACACTCCTATTTTGGTGTCATTTCATCGTCAATTCGCTGTAAACAAGCCCTTTGTTCGTTTGGCAGAGCATGCTGCTGGCATGCCGTCAGCGTGCCGGCGGCAGATCGAACGACAATGGTATGCTCTTCCGCAAAAACGATATCCCCTTTGCTTTTTTCCCCAAAAACGAAGTCCAGCTTGCTTTCCAAGCCACCTGAGCCGAGCCCTGTGCATAACCTACGTGCTGAAAGGTTCCTCCAAATCTTCAATGAGACTGGTCTTGACGAAGTAGGGAAAGATAGACGTGAGGATAACCTTTTTGTAAAGTCCTTTCTCAATCATCTCCATTTGTAGGGCTTCCATAAAACCGCGACAGGCAAATTTTGCCGAACTAAAAACCGAATAGCAATATTTGCAGTGGTAATACCATAAATAAATCTTTCGGATAAACGGAGGCGAGAAAGAAAAAATGAGCGGAAATTCCCTGTCAAACGAGGGAGTCCGAAATCGTCCTAAACTCAAAAAAAAAATCTCGATTTAAGACGGGAAACTTCTCAAAGAAGGGAATACGGCGCCAATTTGGAATCTCAAAAATGTCCGGAATCATTTAAACTCAAAAACATCCTAATGAGGACACGCCAGAAATCATCTGGATAATTCAAAAAAAAAACAATTCACTAGCGCAACTTTTCAACGATTATAGATTATAGACCTCATCCAATTATTTCGCAGCCCATACTCGGGCGGGGGGGGGGGCTTGTACGTTCAGCCGTTTCTAAAAAACTTACCAGTAAGCTGTACCATAACGTTCACCATAGTAACTACAAATTGAACCCATCGAAACTATTTGACCTTTTTCGGCTGAGATCATATCCGGCAGAAAGGCTTTCACGGTCTGCAAAAGATTATCACATCCTCAATAACTTTGTCAAAATTATAAGCAAACCAAAACTCACATAAATATGGCCTAGGACGTTGACGTTTGCATTTACTTTGTAATCATTGTAAGAAAGCTCCGTGCACTCGCCGAACTTCAACACTGCAGCATTCGCTATGCAAATATCTACGGGACCTAAACATATTACGGATTATCTAGTAGAATAAAATAACAGAATTTTTAGATTACATACCAAACCTGGGATCTTTCTTAATTTCTGAAGCTACAAAGGTTAGCGCTTGCGGATCAGAAACATCACATCGATAGAAACATGCGATTCCTCCATCACGGGTAATTTCTTCGACGGTTCGCAGGCCTTCTTTCTAAAGTCGGATAACTGTAATTTTATCGTAAACATTCCTTGAAATTCCTCTTGCAAAGATTATACTTTCATATGTACTCATAAAATCTAGTTAAACGAAAATTAATAATGTTTGTCTTATCTTCCTACATTTGATGAACTCATGTACAGTACTATTCTGAGTTGCTGAAAAACGTGAGTGACAAAATAGATTATCTGCATCAATGTTTTTTGAAATTGAAGATTCAAATTAGCATAGCTTAACATCTTAAGGATACATAAGTATCTAAAAACGCGTATTCCTCAATTTCCTTTGTCAGCGAGATTGCATGCTTTCTTTTAAAAACGAGATTGCCTGGTAGCGTCTCCATTTATGGAAATTCGTCCAAAATAATACCCACGGCATCAAATCCGATAAATCTCTAAGCTCTGTTTTGATGGTATGACTTGATTCGTTAATTACGAAAAATAGTGAATCACACTTGAACATGGAATCAAAAGTCAGATTGTCTCAAGAATGCTGGACTTGATATTTTCCAAGAACAAGGGCAATTACGTAAACCCGTTTTTGTTTTCAAAAGAATGAATTTTGAATATATCCCTACATACCGGATGAACCCAAGACCGCCTATGGGCATAGTTTACAATTTCATGTTCACTCAAGTCATTTGATTTTTGGATATGAAGAAACATAGCATGTGTGCAGTCAAGGTTCGTTATGTTCTTTGTGGCAATGGCCCAGACTTTTGGCGGAATCGAAGTCTTGAGATTTTGTCTTCAAAACGAGTGGATAGTAACCTATGCGGGTGTCTGGTGCCCGAATCTACGGATACTATCCTCTATCGACGTTCGCTCATTTCAGCTGGACACAATTCGTGTCTAGAAACAAGAAATTACGAGACAATCTACCCTAATTTGACAAGTACGAGACCCATGTTTTTCATTTTTTCCGGCAGCTTGGTCGCACCACTGCGCCTCGTAAAAGGTCGCTCTTCCAGACAATTCTTTTAGGAATAGACAATTCTTTCAGGAAAGAAACAGCACGATATATATTCATGGTCGCAAAATTTTTTTGTATCTTCAGGCAAGTCGAATTTAGAGAAAAAGGTGCGTTTATACTCGTAAAATTAGGTTAATATGTCACTCCCTTATGACAAAGGCTGATTACAGCAAATATGTCCTCATTTTTCGGAATACCTTCCCCGAGTTGCGTGATGGCAACCTGCCATACAATAGGGAACAATGAATAGAACTTGAATGGGAGCCAATACATGTGAGCGATCCTCAGATTAGCCGCCAAGCCACTTTTTCTAGCACATTCCTACGCATTATAGTTTTCAGTCTTTGTTGCCATTCTCAAAAAGTGCAATAAATGGTCAAAACACGATCACAGATCGTTATTCTAAAGACATCACTTTTTATGCCAAAGTTTTCCGAATGGGGCTAAACATGGCCAGTTCTGTGCGCTTCAGGAACAGCACTTCAAAAAGACTCTGTTTTTGAAAGAGCTCCAAGGAGAGGTGACCGAACCCGTGAAAATAGAGTGCTGGGTAAGCATGGGATATGAATTTTTCACATAGGTCGTATGGTTGGATTACGGTAGAGTACCATAGCAAAAATAGTCGAGCTACGTACTAGTACAAAGCTGATGATCGTTGTCGGTTGTGGTACTAAGCTCGCGCAATCGGTACCTGTATTCTTGAGCAGAAGGCTACTGTAAGATTACGGTAACTGTACGATATATGCCAGACGAAGTCCCCCTCGTCAGACTGACCATAAACTCGATATTATTTACACGATATTAGCCCGTTGTCCGATCCTGCGCAAGATAAGCCACTATGTTCTTCAAGGTGTTACCAATACCATAACTCTTCTATTATAGATTAATTTGAGATCGATGAGCACGTGGTGGGGAGATTATAAACAAAGCATTGTTTGGCAAACTTTGTTTTATTTATATTACATGGCAAGAAGTCAGGGAAAGGCTAACACAAAGCGCTTCATTTTTCAACGGTATTATAGTAATCCATTAATTCTCGAAGTATTCAGTCTGTTATGAAAAAGGAACTGTTATAGATGTCGATGGGAGGAAAAAACATTACCGAAAATTTAATGGGTAAAATGTTGGACATAAGATCTTTAAGAGGTAACCTATAGAATAAATTCTCCTACATGGACCAGAGAATAGAAACTGTACACTTTATGACAGACTGGTTCATTCTTGCTGTGCAAAAAAAGTCCGATTGATGGCAAAGTCTAGATTTGTGTAATACAGATAAACATGTAGATAACTGAGAAGCTCTTACCTCATTCACATCCAGAATGCAAAGTTTTGCTTTCTCTTGAAGTGCAAGCTTCTTTGCAACCGTTTTTCCAATACCCATTGCTCCACCAGTGATCACTACTACCTGAAAATCTCAAAGTAACCAAGAAAAAATTACATATTGAGCAGATCCTTTATATGTGGAAAAAACAATATTTTTTCTGTTATATGGCCAGCGTTTTTTTAAAATCATCTCACTGTCATAGAATCTGCTATTTACGAAAAAAAACCATGGGACTATTACGCCTTTTCTTCCTTTTCTTGCGAGTTTGTTTCTAACTATGGAGTCTAGAAAATAAGCTAATGACCGGCTTCTATGTTTGATAAACCTAGTAAAGCTCAATCTGTTTATTTTCGCCATTACAAGCCTGGGCGAATCAAGAAATGCGTTTAAGTCGCAAGATTTTTGAATCTGCTTCAGGTTTCATAAATTTACAATTTACTTGTTTTCCCTTTGAATGCTTTGAATGAATCCTGTGAAACTCAAATTTAGCTTCGTAAAATTTTTTTATCCCAATTAATAGTCAAAAGAGTTCAGCTTAGGCTATTTATGCACAATTCTTTAGAAAAAATTTCTGAATTCCTCCCTCCCACCCCCCCCCCCCCCGCCGTCCCTCTCCCCTCCGTAATTTGCTTTATATGTAATCCTGAACAACTTACATCGAAAGGAGATGTTTTAAGCAAGTTAAAAACAATTAAGGTTGTGTCACGATATATCTTTGGACTCTGTCATACTCGTTATTTTCTTCTGAATATAGGGAATTTACTAAAATTCATAATAAGAGCACATGAATAGGGATAACACTAAATAATGCCATAATATTACAATTATATAGGAAATACCGGATTTGCACAACATTTACAGATTTTACATTCTAGAAAAACCAAAATCTATCCATATTTACCAGGTGAAAATTGCTCACAATTTTGCTGAGAAAATATACATGCAATTTGTTATCTAGAAAATTATATGCATGTTTCTGCATCTCCCTGTACACTCCTTGCTGATAAAATTCCCTGAACACATTACAGCATGGTTACGTGCATTCTGCACTACATTCGCACTTTTGGATGAACCCATCAATTCGTTTACGGCAACGAGAACAAGTTGTTCTTAACGTTTTCGATGCGTAATTGATCACTACTGACATGATTTTAATGTCACTGTAATGACATTACAATAGACAAATGTTGTACTCGACTTTTTGCTTAATGAACACTGAAAAGAGTGCGATTTTGATTGTGGAGGTTGAAAAAAATTCAAGAAGTTGAGAGATATCTTTGTCTAAGTGTGTTATTCTCCTCGTTTGACTAGTTCAAAAGTTAAAAAAAATTGGACAGGTTTATGTTCCACTGCATAGGGTATCTGAAAAAGTCACCCATTGTTCCATCATCAAAAATTTTTTTGCTTTGCCTCTCAAAAGCTCCAAAGTAACACGTAAAAGGGCTGGCATCACACTAGCTATAGTGTTAAAAGAATCAGCGATCAATTTCCATTACTGTGAATACGATTCAAATTCTTAAAGGATTTGATGCCACTGAAAAGCAGATCTTAGCAGCAAGACTTGAAGGAAGTCAAAAAAATAATTATTGGTTCGACCAGATACAAAACCTGCAAATAAGAGTAATTTCCATTTTAAAGTTACTCCAGGCATACTTCGACAGCTATTTTCTCTAGTACATCAATAGTAATCATACTTGAACAGTTCTGAATTGCTCAAGAAGCTCATTTTTGAGGTTATTTTTCCCAAATACAGCATACAAAACTTTTTGGTCTCTTAGGGTTTTGTAATGGTGGCAAGTACATCATAGCACTGTCAGTGCTGGAGGCTACCAACGTATTTTACCATAATCCTACAATATTGAGGAGTGTTCAGCAAGTTAAAAATTATTGAAGAATGTTGAGCACAACCTCTCGGTATTTAAAGGTCCAAAAATTCAAAATGCAGTTCCTCACGGCATGTAGTGCTGAAAACTCCTACCGTATTCCTACCGTAGTCATACCATAACCAAGAGAGATTGGTGGCTACTTTCTATATAATATAAAATTACCACCCGCGGAGCCCAAAGTTTGAGAAAGACAGAGGTCAAAAATAACTAACTAAAGGGTGGTGGTAACATTTTTTGGGGCTCTGTATTTCAATAATGAGTGCAATCACACAGTTTGGATGAAGTCCAATGTCTAAGCGACGGCGACCATCGAACAGTTTGACAGGGATATTTTTTCAAACAGAGTGCAACGAGGACGATGGAATAATCTTACAAATTTCTAAAAGTTAATTTTATCGGAATATGCACTGATTTTCTCAGAGACTGTAAATGCGTGGTATGTGCAATTACAGATTCCACTCATATTAATGAACTAGGCAACGGCAAGTAGGCCTTCTCACCTGATTTTCAATTTTCTTCCTCCTGTAGCATAATACACGCGGTAAATCCTTGAACAGTAAACACCAAATGTAGTAAATGACGAATGTAACGAGAAGAAACAATCGTCGCGGCAGTGATTCTCTGGCCATTTTTTTTACCCTGCACTGAAAAAAAAAGAAAGTAAAAATCAAGGATGAAATTTCAGCAGGCTCAAACTATGCGCACGGTAGCATGGCACGATGTAGAACGTTCAATGAACGCAGATAAGGATCTTTGGCTGCAAGAGAAAAATCGGCCATGAACGAGAAAACCTCTATGAAAACGTCGTTAAATGACGTCTAGCGATGTCTTCTCTAAGAGTGAAGACATTAGCTTCGTTATATGTGTGGATGTCACGACAATGGAATGACAGAAGGCAATTGCGCGACTGGTCCTTCTATGAGTTTTTTGGGCGCACAGTAAAAGTGCAACACAAGACCGGGTTTTGGGCGGTGGAAAGTACAATTTCTGCCACGGATCTGTACTTTTGGATCGTAATGTGTGGGTACTTTGGCTATCTAGTCGCTTTTCAAGTTCAGATTCAGAAAATGATTTTTTGACATTTCAACAGGTATAGAATCATTTGAATCAAAATGTGAAGCATGAATAATTTTGACGCATCATAAAATTTATTTGTCAAATCTAAAGCAAACGTTTCAAAATTGCCCCTATTGGTAGAACTGCTCACGATTTTCCAAAAAATAGGGGTTTGGCAGTAAATTTTTGTGGACCACCTCATTACTCTGAAGATATGTTCATTTCCAGCTGGTTTATTAGATGCGCTAAATAATTCTCACTTATTTCTCATTTTGAGCTCTCCGTCACAAGCAATAAAAGCAAAATAGAGCAAAAATTGGATATTCTTGTTCACAAGAATGAAAAAATATCATTTTTCAAGGAACTAAGTGCTCCATGTAATCCTGAAAGTGCATAAATCATACAAGTTTTGTAGTCTGAAAATAGAGTGCAAGAAATTAGACTATATTGAAAGTTTGAAATAGATCCAACCTGTTTCCAAAATTTCTTGGATAGACAGTATACAGACTCGTAGGATGACAGTATAAACTATTGAAGTATGATGTTAGTCTACCAACTGGTTAAATAGTTTCTAAAACTTATTTTATAGACGAGATCTATTTTAGGGCAAGCGAAAATTGTAAGTCTGAGTGAACAAAGTTTGAAATACATACGGTCAATCAATTGTTTATAAATGCAAGTGTACATATGACCCCTGCGCAGCTTTGAGGAAGTTAATATAGGCACTTCAATTTTCTTGTATCAAAATTTATTACTAATGGAGCAGTAAATCTCACAGCAATTACCAAAAGGCGAATTAGGAGGTACTCGAGCTGCTTTCGATCACACTTAATTTTCCAGCATGGAGTAGTCATTAACACAGTAACACACAATGAAAAACAATAATAAAAATAACAACAAAATCAAAAAATTCCAATTTTCCTGTCCCAGACACTGAATGGAAATCAGAATAAAAAGTACGTCCTTTCTTGGACTTCATTCAATACAGAGTCAGGACCCAGCACGAGATAGCATTTGAGAATCTTGGAAACGAAGTCCCCTTTGACATTGCAGAAATTTACGAATAACCTTTTATAGTTATTGTAGATGTAATGCTTATAACGTGCAGCAACCATGAATAAATCAAAGTGACGAAAAACCAAGAAAGTCGGATATACCATTAAGGGCCATAGCAAAGCAGAGGGGACGTCTTAGGTCAAAATGAGTGCCTATAATTGGAACTTGAACTAAGGAAGAGATTTGTGCGAAAAATTCTTGAAAAAATTACTTGAGTAAGGAGGTAAACTATGATTTTGTTTGACCCCGCGCAACCTCAGGGTGTTCCGAGGTTGCGCGGGAGCAAAATTAGAAAAACACAACTTTTTTCCTTCGCGTGATATTTTCATAATTTTTCCTACTTTTGTCTGATCCCCCCCCCAAATACCAAATTGGATGGCTCAATATTGCTTGGTCTTAGGCCCGTATGCACGTACATCCCCGCGGGAAGGGGAGGGGATCTGAGAGGGGAAGCGCCATATCTCGCTAGTCTACATAGCTTTCTCCTTCGTTATTTATCTTGCTTATGAAGTTTCTCATACACTGATACGTGCGCATTACGGATGCCAGGTTACTACCAAACAAGATTAGATATTCACTATTTTTTCTGATCCCCTGGGGATCCCCAGGGGATCACCCTCACATTTTCGAAGTCATTTGTCTTCCCGACAAATCAATGAAAACGCTGCAAAATTGTACTGAAGATATACTACGATACTGCTGAGCATGTTTTCGACAGAAGAAATGGAATCTGAAGATTTTAATTTTTTCGATAATCCCTGGCTCGCGAGCAGCGGTTCATCGAAGATTTTGACATCTTGAGATTTCACTCATTTCTACCATAAACATGTTTAGCAGTGCTGTACTATATCCTCAGTACAATTTTAGAGCATTTTCATTGAGTTTTCAGGAAGATAAATGACTTTGAAAATGTGAGGTGATCCCCCGGGGATCCCCAGGGTTTCAGACGAAATATTGAATATCTAATCTTGTATGGCAGTAACCTGGCATCCGTTATGCGCAATTATCAGTGTATGAGAACCTTCGAAAGCAAGACAGAGAAAGAAGAAGAAAGATATATAGAATAGCGAGATGTGATGCATCCCCTCTCAGATCCCCTCCCCTCCCCAGCGGGGATGTACGTGCATACGGACCTTAGTAAAATGATTTTTTTTATCTTTCCGTGTATGAAGATCATTTTTAACACGTTGAGATCGTGTGCAAACAAGTTTATGCATTAATCGTGTTCCTAATGTTGTTAATTTACTTGTTACTGGTAAAATGACGTTAGAGCCAAATCGGGTTTGGAGTGAGGATTGTGTTTGCCAATATTTTTTCAGATCGGGAACCCCAAAACTTTATGATTTCTCTTGTGATTTCCGCTCGACATTCAGCGTGTGGGAACTCCATTTCTGCTGAGCCCTGTACATATATGTTAGGGTGTCTCATAATTTTTTAAAATCGTTTTTACCCTGAATATCAGCATTTTTCGAGAAGGGGCACCTTCAAATTTTACAAATACATTTTCGTATTTCCGTACGTATGAGCTATATGACCACGTGCATGGAAGGAGCTCAGGATGCCTAGGGGCGGAGTTTGCCATTCTACCCTCTTCATTTATTCTTTATTTCTAGCCATGGAAGAAAAACGAAAATAGTAAGTGAATGTGCGATATGTCAAGCATACACTATGAAAAATTGGGAATTTTTAAGACATTTTGGGCGGAGATACGATTTTTGAAGGAGAAGTTTGTTTTTGACTGCTATCAGATGATTTCAGCTCAAAACTTCCGGTGAAATTTTTGGACGGAGTCTTCATAGCCGTCTCGTAAAGCTTGCTTTGTCCTGCCTAACATAATACTCGAGCCACATAAATTAAAGGAAATACAAAGAGACGACAGTTATAGTAAAAACGGTAAACAAAATCACAGGAAACCCTAATAAATATATTTCAACAGTTGTGCAAACTAAAATTAGTGATAGGCTGCCAAATATTAGTTGAAGAAGGAAGCATGCTGCTTTTCAAGCGATACCATCAAAACGCATTACACCCATGTCATGGCACTGTTTCAAGTTTGAAGTGTGCAGTATGTGTAACCAATGACCCGCAGCCCAAGACTAATTTGCAAGAGCGGTTGTGCCACTTTGTTGTACTCGATCGGAATTAGAGACATTCCAAAAAAGTTAGAATTGGAGCGTTTAGAACTTAGTCGATCGGTCTTTTCAAATTACAAATTGTGCTGGCAATAGTTGAAACACTGAGTGAACCTGTGCAGCTAAAACGGTGCGGATTATACGATGGGGACCACGGATACCTCACCATACTCGAAATTTTGCTCCAACTCTTGGACTCACAGTCCACCCCAAGTTATTGGTCTTGAGCTCTTAGCAGCTTCCTATAGTAGGACCCCCCCCTATCAGGCCAATCCCCATGTCACCATGCAAAACGTCGTTTAGGAAGCAAGAAAAACTTCGGAATAGCGAAGAGGCATGAGGACCCCAGGTCGGCACCGCCCCCTCTAGTAATGTCCGCCCATCCGTGCGCGCCCATCCAATCACCGTTATGGAGAACCGGCTTACGGACTCTAAGAAAAAAGGATTTTCGGGGTTGCCGCGGATATTTGGAATCAAGGACATGACAAAGCTTCGAAACGATCAAAACATGGAAGTCGAGAATTTGGGTGGACCGTGCCGCTAAGTCTTTTGTGAAGAACTCACAACAGGGCTCGGCGCGAGCTGGCACCAGGGAAATTTCAAAACGAAGTCCCGTTTGATATTGAAAATTTCGTACGAAGTCCTTTTTGACCTGTTTTGAAAACCCGTCCATTTTTATATTATGTAAAAAATGTAGTAGTGTTTTCATGCATTTCTGATTTCAAGAAGGAACTTTTCACAGCTTTCTGAGCTTTTTAAGTGGTCGAGTCACATCTTGAGAAGCAGAAAAAACCGATTTTTCGACTGCGGAGCGGATCGAGTGGTTTTCAAATTGCTATAAAACGCTGAAAAGAGAATATTATGAAACTGTTTCGTTTCCGTATGTAATCTTTTACAGTGTAGATACATTTTATGTAAAAAAGTATGAAAACTTATGTGAGCAAAGTGTCGGTGCCAGCTCAGCTGGCACCCAGTTGGCACGGTGCCAGCTAATTCAGAAAAAAGTTGGGCACAGCTTTCATGCACATAAGTTTTCATATATTTTTGGCCCGTAGTTCCGGTCCACCAACGCGCATGCACACACCAAATTTGATGTCATACTATTGCGTTTTGGCTGAAAACAACGCCTTTGTTTGTTGATGGACAGCTTGCCAATGGCATGCCGGTGGCATGCCGGCGACATTTTTGCGGCAGTTCTCCGCCTCGGCCCCTGTAGAAACGATATCCCCTTTGCTTTCCGCGCTGAAAACGATATCCAGCTTGACCCGGTGCCAGCTGTGCTGAGCCCTGACTCACAATCTGCCATTCCACAGCATTTAAGAAACGGAAGTAAAAAACGAACGAAACTTTTCGGTTAATGTTTATGTGGTTGCTTCAATTTATCA